AGAGCACATACCACAAAATCTGAAAAAAGATCAATAACTGAAGTACACAATAAAGGAGCAAATGCACTAACCATTGGCTGGCAATGCCACCAGATTTGCCCTAGTGACCCTATATATACTTTAGGATTTTACTCTCTAGAGGTATTATTTGAAGGAGTTATTGACACTTTAAGTGGTCAAATGGAATTGATCTGGTCCTACAAAAGAATGCCTGGGCAGTGAATGGCCAGGAGTTGGAAAAGAATGCCTGGTGATACAATTACACAAGCAATCAAGTTAGTTAATGATAAAATCACTTGCCATATTCTTAAAATTTCAAACTTCGACAAGCCAACACAAGTCAGAATAGTATATTTATTAAAATATTTTCAAAATATAATTGTTTTGTCTGCTCAGTCATGGGCTGTTACCATGTAAACTATTTAATTATTAGAGTTGTGAATGTTATGCACCTATCAATGTTAAGTGGGAGGGGTGGAGGGCAGGTGATCATAGGGGTTTTGACAAGAATTTTCGTATCTAGGGTCGGACAAAGTGGGGCATTTGAAATTTGATTATTTTCATCGATCAGCAATTTCTTAGCGGGCTGGTTACCATAATGCTCTGAGTGACTTGAGTGTCCATGTGTTTCAATATGGCCATAGCAATCGAGGTATGTAATCAGTATTTATTCCAAATTCATCACCTTTATTGAGTTCTATCGTTGTCACCATTTATGAATTACTCATTTTTGTTTGCTCATATTAGTTTTCCTCTTTTATTATTAAGTTTGATTAATTTTGAGCATTTAGCAGTACAAGCTGTACCACAAATTGTTTTTTATGTGCCTGAGGGTGAGGTATTTGACCCCAGACAATGCCCCTTGTAGGGGCATTTAGATGCAATTTGAACATTTACAGCATGCGAAGTGTGGGACATTTGACAAAAATTTTTGCTCAAAATTCAAATCCCCTATCATTGCCCGCCCGCGCTCCCCCCCCTCTCCCTGGTTAACAATGATAGGTGCATTATGCCGGGCATTCTTTTCCAACTCCCGGGAATTCCTGGGCATTCTTTAGCTGTTCAGCTGGACCCAATTGTTCCTGAAGTCAGTGGTTATGGAGTAATTTCACCCAACCTTTTTCATGCTCATCCAGCCTCAATAATATTTAAACATACATATTCTCTGTCGTCCATTTCTCCACAAACTATTAGTGAAATTCCATGGTGAAACTAGCAAATTTTAAGGGCTTTAAAAAAAACTATAACATCCTGCGTAAAAAGGAAATGAGCTATGCCATATTTATGATAAATACAATAATATTAAAGCTTTTCTACTTACGTTGTCTCACTATCTTCCATCCTTTTTGTTTGAACGTCATGTACAAGAAAAACGGAATACTGAAACTGTTTTGAGCGCGTGGCATTCCACTTTGACAATTCATATTTCATCGACGTTGTTCAAATTTCATATTACAATACTGTACCTCAATTTCTCTAATAGTTTAAATTCAGGCCAATTTTTGGCTGTCTGGGCTTACTCATTTACTTTATAAAGTATTTAATAGCCACCACCAGTAAACAGCTGCAGTACACAACTTCACAAAATAATAATCATTGCATATAACATTAAAATAGATACAACAAATATCGTTTAAGAAGAAATCCCACACGAATCCACATGGAAATAACGACAACTCTAAGTTTCAACTAGAAAGTTACCCTCCTCGAAGTGGAAACATATAACAATTTTGCATTTGCCCGGTTCACCACATTGTCAAAAATTTGCCGCGAGTTTTTAATTTGCCGTGAGTTTTCAATTTGCCGCGAGTTTTAATTTGCCGCGAGTTTTAATTTGCCGCGAGTTTTTCATTTGCCGTGAGTTTTCAATTTGCCGCGAGTTTTCAATTTGCCGCGAGTTTTTAATTTGCCGCGAGTTTTCAATTTGCCGCGAGTTTTTAATTTGCCGTGAGTTTTAATTTGCCGTGAGTTTTTAATTTGCCGTGATATATGTGGGCCACCATAGTTACAGCCTTAACTGCGACAGGTCCATAATTTTTGACCGTTTTACTTGTGTATCCTGCTTGCAAATGACCCTCAAGATTGAGATCGTTGCGTCCGAAACTGATACCCAAGTGAAACATATTCTGACGATTATGATTTTTATTCCTTTTTGCATTTCCATTTTCACGTTTGCTTCTACCGATTCCCATTTTCACATTGACGTGGTCATAAAACAACTGAAGTCAAAATGCAATAACATTGAAATTCATATTTTATTTTTTTGTCAAAGCAATTACATAGTTGATTTGTATTTCAGTTTACAACTACAATTAGCATAGTCAAAGAGATGTTGATAAAAAGGAGGACGTTTTGTCCCGTGTGCATTAACATTAGTTTTACCCAAGTAGCACTAAACAGTTTGTCAAAATATGTCTTGTGAGAGTTCGAAGGTCCACAGCTCTTTAGAAACTTAAAGGCTTCACATATTCCATTCCAGACATTTGTTTCGACTGCTCGAGCTGCAAAATTGAACCAACGATCTTCCTCAGTCATCATTTCTAAAACGTTTTGATACTCTACCCAAGGGTCTGCTTTACTTTCATCCTTTTGAGCTCTTCGTAGCTCTTGAATCTTTTTACTTATAAAATCGACGAAAATCAAATTGATAAGATTGCTGTGACTAACTTCTTCAAACTCAACAGTGTCTGCAAATATCTGATTAAACATGTGTGCCATATTTTTTATTTTTTTTTCAAAACGTCCAAAAGCAATGCAATAATGAGCAACGCAAATAACATTTTTAAGACGATAGTTCGTCTATATAGTGAAACGTGTAATGAAATACACGATGAGTGCTTTCAGACATTTTATTGGACGCTTTTAATAAATTAGATTATATTTCTTGTCACCATGTTTCTTGTCACGTTAAGTTTCGAAAAAATGTTTTTATTTGACAATACATTATCTTCACTACCGCTGAAAAACGCCATTTTATTTTGTCAATTGTTTCATTTCCCTTTATTATGATAACCTATCACATTCAACATTCCCCCGCTAAGTTCGTTTCCGGTTTACACGCGCGCGCCCCGTTTACTTCTTAGGACTGGAAACTAATTGACACGGGTAAGAGCTCCGTTTACTTCCGGGACCATACCTGCACCATAACTACTAACATATTCACTAAATGAACTGTCGGAGCTTTTTTCAAAATGTCAGATTTCATGTACCTCTAAAATCTTGTATCCCATTTCAATTGCCTTTGTCATTTCATTGGTAGTAAAATACCGCGAAACGCACGCTTGTTTTCTGAATGATGACATTCTATCGAGGCAGTTGCAGCACATCGTTTACACAACGGAAACATTAATTTACCGTTAACTTTCACAGGAAGTACAGGGAAATGAAGAATTGGAGAAGCAAGAACACGGCACTTAATCAAACCAAAGTAATTAGAAAGGTCTTCAAAATTTTTGCGAATAATTGTGGGGTAGCCTGTAGCATAGTGGCGATTTTTCATGACGAACGGTTAAAGACTGGTAAAATCGTTATGAAAGATTTTTTGTTTTCCTCGGCCTTACGAAACAACTTAAACACTTCAACAATTCCTCGAAAAAAGCTATCAGCCGGACAAAGATCTGTTATGAATTTATGTGTACTTAGAAAATGCTGCATTTGAGGTGTTTATCTCAGTCGTTTGAAGTCATGTTTCCATATCGTTTTCAAATTATATCCTAAGTCCTTTAGTCTTTTTTCACGCTCAATGGTTCGATTGTATGCGTCTCTCAACAATGTCCCTCTACAGTAAGGATTTTCGCCGCTCAAATAATGGACAGCCGTGATAACCTTTCCTTAAAACTGATACACAGTGTTAGTATCTTCACAAAATCCGTTGACGTAATAATATTTACTTTACGAAGGATGAAAAATAACTTTTTCACCCCCATTGTGCAGAGCGTGTCTGATATTGCTTTTTCTTTGAAAAGTAACTAACTCCAACCACTCAATTGAACTGTTTGAATACGGCTTATTACTTTTACAATACATATTCTTAGGTACAATGCCGATGGTTTCTTCTGTTAAATAGTTTCAACGAAACATTTCAGCGGAAATAGGTCCTTTTCCATCCATGTTTTTGACAACCTCGTCCCAGTCCACTTAGCCCCTCCAGTTATTATTGTTGGAATTTATTTAAGTAAATAATACATAATTGTTATTAGATTCTAGGAACTTATGGAAGAACGGAAATAGGAATTAATGAAACACCTTTATTAGTTGTCCCACGTAAAAAGTCAGTTTTTCTTCCGTCGCTGGCTGTGAATGTAAAAGCTTGAAATGTTTATTTGTGATGGAGAATAGTTATATTGGAATAGTTATATTAGGTAAAATTGAAAATTGTGTGTCGACCACGCATACAAATTGGATAGCATACAGTCCCCAAAACGAATCGGCAGACGCATAACTGCTTCGTGTTAACGCGCAAAGGAGAAAATTGCTGCAAGTATAGAACTAAATGGTGTATACAATATGTTGTCACTAAACGACGTCCAAATGCTGCGCAGGCACAATTTTATCCGAGAAATTGTTTCATCATCCGGGAATTTGTGTTTTCAAAGTTATGTATTGTGTTTGAATTATTGTTTTTGTGTGTGAGACGTTCCTGTTTGTCTGGTATTTATTGATTGTGTTCAAAATCTATTTGTTTGTGTTCTGACTACTTATATTATTTGTTTGAAATGTTATTTCGCGTGTTAGAACTTGTGGGCCCATTAGTAAATACTAACTTGTAAGTTACTTATTAAATAGTAAAACATTCTTTTCATCTTTGTCTGTAATGTCTCTTAAACAATAAACTTGATGACGAATGCAGACTTATGATAAAAATATTGGATAAGAAAGCTTTTTTGTTAAAGTTTTGATTACATAATCGGACCATTATATTCTTTTTTCGTCTTGCTACAGTTTTTTGCTGTTTTTTTTTTGTTTGAAGGAGAGACAGAAAGTGTTTTAAAAAGGCAGAATTCTCATCAAACATCATCTTTCTGGTAAGGATTGTTTGATTTTCAATTTTATTATTTAAGCTTCCATACCACTAAACATTTTTTAAAAAAGAACACAGACATCATAAAGTTGACTGCAATATATAAGTAGATATGCTAACTATAGAATTATTGTGAAAAGGTAATGCAGTACAAAAAATTATTTCGGCATCCAACCACTACATCTTGTCCAACTATCACAGGAGAAGAGAACACCTCCCCGGGTAAAGAAAAAGTTCTCAAAATACTTCCGTCAGTTTCAGCTAAGATATATACAGTGCCTTTTGTTGTCGCGACAACAAAGCAAGCACTGTCCACATAAAGCTTACAACTGTTTGCAGCTTTGCTTCTGCTATTGATGGAACTTGGTGTAGCATAGACAGGGCCGTTCAGCTTGGTTGTCCATTTTACGTGACCATCAAAAGAAATACAATGCACTTTATGCCCATGAGAAGCAATAATAAGGTCTTTGCTAGACATAGCACTGGATGCCAAAGAAACAGGAGAACTGAAAACTGAATCAGTTGTTTGCAATTCCCAAATTTCATCGCCAGAATAACTGAGCCGCTTGACCAACCCATTTACTAAGGTAACAACTACAGTATTGCCTTGAACTAAAGCAGTAGAGAATATCGGCTTTTCCAGTTGCTTGAGCCACTTGGTTTTGCCAATCTGAGCATCAATACAAAGAAAGTATCCCGCAAGTGTGCCAATGTATACACAATGTGGATCGTAAGAAACAACTGCAGAGCTGAAACAAGATCCGCTGACACAATTCACTATCAATTGGCAAACTCTCAGATCAACATCTAACGCGTACAAACGACCATCATGGCATCCAATCCAAATCAGTCCTGTATCTTGATCAAGACAAGGAGACGACTTTACAATATCTTGTGTTTGATATACCCACCAAATGACCCCAGTTGTCTTTATCAAAACGTACACTTTGCCATCATAGCAACCTGAAATTTATCAGACATTGCAAAATAAGAGAGACACAGCACATATGTAACGAAGCCAGCCGGCTAGTTTCTTATTTCTTTGATGATAACAATTTTGTGTTCAATCACTGGAAAAACAATGATTGAAAGAAATGGAAACAACAAAGTAATAACAATGCATGATTTTGCTTAGAATTTTGCAATTTAGGAGTGAAAAAATGGAGCCTGCTTCGCAACTGATTTAAAGAATTATGCTGTAAAAGCACTGAAAAAGTTGCAAACAATTGTATATACGTCAAAACAAATCATATTTTTCCATCCAAAATAAAGACTCTGCTTTTGATATGCAACAAATTATTATGACGTTTTCAAAGGAAACTCAGCGCATAACATTTCTGACTTCAATGGTTGAAAACAGACCTGTTGACAAACCTAAAATTCAAGTTTGATTTCACGTAACATTTCCTGTAAAATCGGTTTATTCCTTATTTAACAAAGCACAAACGTAAACATAAAATCTCAAGTTACAAAACCAAAATCTTTACGTATATCCAACGTTTTTTTAGTCCTTTCCGCTGACCTAACCGCGTGCTTTACTTCATTTAAACACTACATTCCTCCCCTTCTTGGAATATATCTTAACATAGTAATTAACCTAATCAATATCAACTTTAATGTTTTGAATAATCTTCAACAGTTGACTCAACGTTAATAGTCGTTCATCCATGCGGTCTTCTGATCAGTCGTCTAGATCTTGATTGTTTATTTGGTGGATTCCGGTTCATTGATTCAGTCAATGTCTCCAGAATTAAGTCTCTCAAGTGGTTTCTGCTGTCTTTTAAAGAATGACCTATTACGAGAAACTTATCTTCCATGTTTTTCCCTCTATGCCGTTATCATAGATCCGTTTATGTTTTCAATAATGTAGCGAGTTGTTTCGAATGCTAAACTTACTTTGTTCTTTTTGGCTTGCCTGATCTATACTACTTCTCAAACTTTAAAGTCATGCTGTTTCGTTGCTCTTGCTTTGTCGGCGTATGTCTTCATTGTCATCTTTGCTTTCTCATCTCGTTGCACCACGTTGCTGTTGGGAGAACTCTTTATTGGAGATGGGATTTTCATCCTTACCTCTCGATTCATTAGTAAGCGGTGTGGGCATTTTTCTGTGCTTGGGTGTGGGGGCACTCGATAATTCCCTAAGAATACAAATAATTATCTCTTCCAGCCTTTGCGGCCTTCGCGGTTCTTTGTATTAACGTACGCTTGGCAGGCTGGACAACTGGCAATTCTGCAATACGTTCTGCAAGCTTGTCGATTCTAGGGAACCATACATTCGACCGGAGTAACTGCTTAGTCTTTACGATGCTAAGGTGTCCTTCGTGGCATAAGTCAATTACTCGAGTGCAGAGACTTTTAGGTCTGATTTCCTCGTAACACCAGCCCGTCGATAAAGTTCTGTTCTGGAAACACTTGGCCGTACTGTTTTAAATCTTTGTCGACTTTACAGGAGCGATGGCCGCTTGTTTTCTCAGTTCTTGGTCCTTTTGGGTTTCTTTTTGGATTTCTTCGCGTCGGATTGCTACTGGTGTTGTGTCTTGGATGATGCTTCGAATCACCAAGTCTCTAGCGTTTGTTTTCTTCTCATCCTCTTTGTCTAACACGATTGTATGCCTTGAGGGATAATCCGCTGGGTTGCTTTTCCCAGGACAGAACTTTAGCTCGAGCTGTTGCAAGTACAGTAACCAATGCTGTGCGGATTGTTGAAAATTCGAAACATCGGGTGATGGTCTGTCTCTACAGTGCATTTACTGCCTATGAGGTAAAAGTAGCACTTTTCACACGCCCAATGAATAGCCAATGTATCTCTGTCGGTTTGCGAATGCCGTTGTTCTACCGCTGTTAGGCTTTTGCTTGCACATGTTACCGGTTGCTATCCCTGTTCTTTCTACAGCAGTAGGATTACACACAGGCTATTGGGACCGGCGTCCTCTTGCTGCTTTGTCTCCACACCGATCCCATAATAAATTAAAACTGCATCACTAGACAACGCGATGCTTCAACCATTGCAATGCGTTGTCTAAAACCATTGCTTCCCGGCGCAACTTATTGTCCTTCATGATATTGAGCGACAGACTCACCACCGTTTTTGTGCATTTTGGTCGAACTTACAACTTCCACTGTCTTTGTTAATCATCGGCGTAAAATGGTTGTCAAGCTTTGCAATGATTTTATCGTATTCGTTTGGTTCCTCAGTATTTGGCGTATGAACGTTGTGTAATGTCTCGATTAATTCCCTTATTTGTTCGCCCCCATAAATATTGATTGCATCCACACGATTCTGTGTGTTTGCAATGCGAAAATAGCGGAACAATAGACAATTCTTTCTCCTATTACTTCCATCGCTGACCTGTTTCGTCGGGGTCAACGTCCGGCACGAAAGTGTGCATTTTGATATCGCGAGGTCCGTGATATGAAGCGGAATTTTCAAAATTTTGAGGCAATATCTCTTCCTCTTCATTCATCCTATCGCTTTACAAGCGGTCTTTAATCCTCGTGGCCAATGTAAAATCGGTATATTGCTTACTTAACAAAGTACAAACGTAAACGTAAAATCTCTAGTTACAAAACCAAAATCTATACGTATATCCAGCGTTTGTTTAGTCCTTTCCGTTGACCTAACCCAGTTCTTCACTTCATTTAAACACTACACTTGAGAGACTTAAAGGGCGATTTTTACTTTACTATTTTTCTTTTGAAATTTAACACATACTAAGCACAAGTGGAAAAACAAGAAAATTACAAAAGAAAATTATATCACAAAATAGCAATTTAAGGGGCTGATTATAGTAAGCATTTTAAACCCTGGGCTGAACTGATCCCCGTTATGTGAGTTTAAACTTCAGCCCAGTCTTAATACGAAACATTCATAATATCAAACGCGCCTAATTATAAGGCAAATTTTCAACCCTGGGAAAATTGAAATTTAAACGGTACTTCGGCCAACGGGGTTGAAATTTCAGCACAGTGTTGAACTCAGCACTGGCACGAAAATTATACCGTGTAATCGTTTTTAAAGCAGGGCTGAGTTATTTAAGCATATGTAGTCTAATTGTTGTCAGCTAGACATTTTATGTTTCGTATTTCGGGTGTCTATATTATATAAGATACCCGTTAATTTTTATCTTCGGGGATGAGATTTTCAATGTAAACGCAATAAATTTTAACTCCCTTAACAGGACTCAGTTCAGCCCAGGGTTGAAAATGCTCAATGTAATCAGTTCTTAAACAGTTATTTTGCACATTACTCATAAGCATTGGCATGCATTGTCCACGCAACAATTTATAGACAAATGCAACTCAAAAAATTAAAAATTGTAAGCGACCGATTCGCTATAACGGTACTTTGGACAGGTAGCGCTTAAAGAGGCTACCGACAGTTCAACCGAGATTCGGTTTCAAGTTTGTACTTCGATGATTTATTTTTTTGAATTGAATTATATTTATCAAAATAAGTTAGTACCTGATTTGGAAACCAGAAAAATTGGTTAAAAAACAAAAGATATCTTACAAGCTATGTATATAAAACATGAAACTGACTTAATTATTTACTTTAAGAATAGATTGTGACAAGAAACATTGCAAAAAACATTCACATTTACTTCTCATCTCAGATAAAAAAAACTTATTTAACTTTTTTAGGATTGTTTTCATCATGAAAAATTTTTCAAATAAAATTTCCCATTTTTCTTTCAACAAGTAAATGATATATTGTCACTCAAATAACAAGAGACATTGAAATGCTGGACTTGGCAGACGTATACATACAAAGCCTGGTCTATAAAATACATCAGCCATTGTCATGGAACTTTTGTCAGTGTTGTCTATTTTTAATTAGCTAGGTATAAACAATCTTCTTCCTGCTTTCTAGGCCGTATTACATGGCCAATAATCGTTCAGTTTCGTTTCCCCCATTATTAAGATATATGAAAGAATTTCTACATTCGCTTGTTTCCGCTTTATAAACCCACAGTTTTCGAGTATTTCTCCTTTCAAAAATCAATAATTTAACGTCTTTCGCAATCATACGACGCCTTTTTAATTAGGACATAAAATGAAACTGCAGTTTCTAAATGATCTGACATCTTCATTTCTAAATGAAGTTTCCAAACAACCCGCCGTTTAAGCAAGCTTGAGCAAGAATTTAAAAGTTTCCAAACTGAACTAAATAGAAAACATGCAGTTAAACTCATTTGAGATATTTAAGAGTATTTCTGCTTTAGAAAGAAAATATCTTTGGTAACGTGTTGTGTTTCTCATGCTAGGACAACGCCTTCAGAGGTTAAAGCAAACACTTGTTTGTTCTGAACACTATAGATCAGGAATTCTTTAACAATGCCTTTCTCCCACAGAAAGGCTGATTTGAAATGCACCAACTTGTGTTCCTTCAGTAATTGCCAGAATGCAGTGTTTGGAGGTTATAATGATGATGAAAGCTGTTATTAGAGCATGATTATGGACTTTGTTAACATAATATATAGTACTTCATTTATTAGAGTTAATATTAATTTCGTAAACACGTGAAATCGAACAATTTGACATACATCCGGTGTGTCTATATATGGAGTTGTTGTTATTAGTGGAGTAAGTTTATTGTAAAACCAATATTAATCCAAGAATAAAACTTATAAGCTAACAGACTTGATGGATCTTATCTGCACCTTGGAAATGACGATGATATGATTTTTAATGCTAGCTATATGTCACATACAGGTCAAATAGATTGACACCAATGCTGATTAAAAAAGCTATGATCAATGATACATATTTGACTGCTAATACTTGCGATATTAAGTTTAGGTGTAATACAAGATATATATACCCGCTAACTTGGATTACGTCAGAATTTGGCTAAACCCAGACTTCATGCCACGACGAAAAAGGTCTATTGAAAAGCACCTTGAAACCGCCATAAAAAGAGATAACCGATAACGTCAAACCATAATAAAATTACCTATTTGTAAGGTTTTACATAGCATATAATGTTGAAGTAAAACAAGTCTTTCTTTTTTGGTTGCACTGCATAACTTGTTGTCTCCCAAGTTAAAGCATCTTTTTCGGATTTAATAAAAAAAGACAAAAAAAACAACTCAATCGATCGACAAATTTCCAAAATATAGAGTTCAGAATAAAAAAGTGTTCGTTCTAACCTCGGAAGGCGTTACCGCGATTTAAGAGAACACGTTCCATATTTTTTCCCTAAACCAAAAATATTCTAAACTATCTCAAATGAGTTTAAGTGCATGTTTTCTATTTAGTTCAGTTCAAAAACTAATAAATTATTACTCAAAACACAGTCAAACGCCACACGAAGCTTCCTGGTTGAAGCTTGCCTGAACACAGATTCTGAAAACTGCGTGTTATTGAAGGTGAAAACAAGTAAATTTAGACTTTCTAAGATACATCACAATAATGTATCGTGTTAAAAAGTATTTTACAATGGGGTGCAACAAAAATCTTTTTTAAGAGACTTTTTGTGCAAAAGAATACGGTGTATTCGAGACGATCTTGGTAACGTGTCAATTCGCTCTTGTAAGTGGCGTGTGGGAAATGCTGAAGCTCTGAAATGCCAGAGATACGGGTCAGGACACAAAGTTTATTTAGAAAATAGCATTAGTGAAGCCAACCCATTTTATATAGCTAGTGCTGCTATGCATTTTTTTTCCATGTTCATTTACAGCAAAAAAATAAAAAGAAATGAATTATGAAATGTTTTTAAATATAAGTGGACTAAAACTTACAGACTGGCCACGCTCCCAGCAACACGTAAACATGCAATGAATATACTTACCAACAATAATGTAACGACCACAATGAGAAAGACAAGCTGAAGACTCAATTCTGCCACCAAGACGATTCTTCCATAGCAAGTTTCCAGTGGACAAGGAAACCGAAATAAAAAGGTGCGAATGGGAGCCAATGAAGACAGTGCTTTTTCCCTTGAAGCATGAGGTAACAACAAGAGGAGAAGCATCAATGCATTTTTCCATGCAAACTTCCCACTTCAAACGCAAATCAGAATCCTTTATGTACTTGTCATTCTTATAAAATAATAGGCAAGCATTAGAGTCTGCGCAAGCTAAACATGTTTGTCTTTGTGCACCTCGTTTGAAATAGCACGCACAGATGTCTCGTACCATGGAGTATGCTGGACTAAACAAAGAGCTAACATCTCTAATCGGACTTTGGAAACTATTTGCGTCATTACCACTGTCGGCATCGTCATTGCTGACGATAATTTTCTTATGACAATCGCTTTCGCAATTCATAGTACGATTTTTAAATTCTTTTAACGTTTCCATCACATAACTAATAACACAATGAAAAGGTTTGTTGACGATGATATTAAACAAATGCGGTAATTGAATGGGATACCCTACACGTGTTTCAATCCACTTCTCAATTTGTCCAACTAATTGCACAGCTCGAAAAGAGTCGCCTCCTTGCAACATAAACATTTCGTTTGTCTTGACTGCGTTCACCTTTTTCTTCTGAAAAATCGACCTTTCGTCAAAAAAAACACCTCTGCTATTATTTAACTCAGGTGGCTTAAAACTCTTCATCAAGCAATCGCTCCACATGTGCGAGATTGCTACATCTACAAATAGTTCACTTGTGTTACAGGAAGTCCAATTTTCTTTAGCAATAATGAGAAGTTTATGTTTATCAACTTTCTCATGATTCGTCAAAGGTAATTGTTGAATCAAATGAATGCGATCAGGCACAGACGCTCTCGGCAGACAGTCATTAATCCGTTCCCGCAAAGTGGTATAACTCTCAGCGGCACTGGATGACAAAAGCTTTGGTACAACGAACATATGAAGCAATAAGCCATTAGCACAAGTTGACAGGTTTTCCACAACACAAGCGCAAGAAGAAACCTCATCACAATTACGAACAGTTATCTCTAAATGATCTAAATTGATTCGCTGGCCAAATCTTTTGATCTGATTATCAGAACGTCCCAAATACCATATGTGACCATTATTTACACGCACTTCATCGCCGCTGCATCTCATAACTGGCGCATCTTTTCCACTTTCTCCTTCCAATAAACAGCGCCGTTTTTCTCCCCCTTGGCGAAGAAAAATTATTGGAAATAGAAACATAATGGGTACACGCATGGGTACATGCATATTTAACGTTCATAAAAATCTGAGACGTTAATGAAAAACTTTACAAAAACATATTTAGTAAAATCACTATAGGATGTAACGATATAAGTCCATACAACCTAATAACCGTAATATACAACCAAAATAAGTCGAACATTGACAATAACAAAATTGCTAAAAATAAAATCAGTAATTTAGTATCCCTTCTTTTGACACTTTTCTTTGGTGCAAAACTGTGCTCTGCGCTCAATGTTTAGTAAAAAGGCTCCGTAATTGTCTAACCTTTCTTTCTTGTCACTACGCTTGACAATTGTGCTGACGTGCTTACATTGTATGACAGTGGGCTTGCTACAAAAACTAACAGCCAACGTTCTCAAGAAACCTCGCCAATTTAGAAATAAATTCATTGCAATTAGACAGGAAAGCATTTTTTATATAAATAGTGCATGTTTTAGATTTGTTTTTGAAGCGTTTTGTTAACTTTCGAAAGAATTGTGCGAAATATAATGCACGATTTCAATGTTTTGCACGAATTAAAAACCCAGTTGTATAGACTTTGCGTAAAATTGAATCCATTCAAACTAGTTGTTGTGGACAACATACCAATAAACAAATGACCGAAACCAGAAGTGATTTCTTCTCCATTGTCATTTCGTATACAAATTTTTGTATGTAGTAAAGGTTTTCCAAGTTCACACGTGTTTGACATTTCACAATCAACATCAAGGGCAGCAGTATCAAGTTCTTCATCGGTAATTAGGTGACATGTTGCCCAACTAGAGACCTCTGTAATACCGTAGACGTTATAAAGTCTTGTGGGACATTTTTTATTCTTCCACTTTCGCAAAGTTGATAGAGAAGGACATGTCTCTCCACCAAAAGCAAGGACGGAAAGAGTTGTTTCCTCACTAAGTATCTTCGACCTTATCAAATCTTCTCCAATAAAATACATCAACGACGGCGTAGGCTATAAAGTCACCAAAATTAGAATCAATTAGAGCACAATTTGAAATACACCAAAACAAAGGTAGCATTTAAAGGTAGCCTTTCCAACTTAAGAGAAGAAAGAAGCAAAAACAATGCATTGGAAAGATATAAAAAAGTATTGGCTGTTTGATCAATATAGTTGACCAAAAGTTAAATTATATATTTATTTTTTGGTAAAGGAAACAATTTCGATTCTGCAGTTAGTTTCAAAAAGGGGGACAAAGAAATTTACCTACAGAAAACAAATACAAAAAGTATCAAGTTTTAAAATTAAAAAATAATTAAAAATTTATTTTCTGAAACAAAACAAACACAACAATTCTTCGCACGAGTATTTAGCTATACATAATGGACGGTGACCAGATATCGTAAAACATCAGATCGTGGTATAATTTCGCATAAAAATATATTCATAAGAAAACTTCTCAATTCTGATTGGTTTAGAGCAGTGTAAATTTTAGTAGCTACATAACATGCCTATGTTGGACTGGTCAAACAACAAACTAACCATAAGATCCGATCGAATAGAAGAAAATCAAATCTCGCAAGTAGTAAATTTAAATTTTTGTAAACAAAAACAATAACAAATAGCTATATAGCGCAAGTTTTAAGTACATTCTTCGGCAATCGAGTCTATAATTCAGCACTTGCAAAATAAAATACACTTCTAAAAATGCAAACACTGCCATGAATACCTTGTTTTGAAGACGTGTGTAGTAGAAGCAATAGCAATGTGACAAAATATTTGACGAAATTGAAAAATACGAATTGAAGGATTAAAAGAACTTGCTGAAATGTTTATAAATCAACGGAATGGAGAATTTTTTATGTATATTATTAATAAGTAATGGCATAGTTCTAGTTTTTCTAAATTGCACCGAGAGCATGCTGCAGCTAATAAGATCGCAGCAAAGGGTAGAACTCACACTAATTTTCAGAGCATCTGGAATTCCCAACATCAGGTGGCAGTCGAAAAAAGTACGTGGTATGTACAAAACTACTTTTTAGGAACCTGCATAACCGAAAGCATTTAGGTATTAACATGTATGACATAATTTAAATGTTGAGAAATGATCTTATGGACAAGAAAGTAGGTGACATTGCGTGCATCAAAAAATGTATAATAATAATAATAATAAAAAATCGATTTTATTCAAAGAGTACTTGTGCATCGTAGTTCGCTGTTGATGGAACAGCGTTCTGGGAAGAATTTTGACAGTTTATGAGAACAATCTTTGATGATATTATTATACAATTTGAAAAAGGCATGTCTTCGACGATCGCTTACGAGAGTCAGATTTGCTTTCTGTAATCGGTCACTATAAGATAGCCCAGGATAGATAATTGATGTAATTCTTCTTTGTACTCTTGCAATACTGTTGGGAACGCTATAGAAGCAAAGCTGATGGCTAACACACTCACAAGTTTGACATATTTTATTAATCACGGTTTCACATACCAGTTCCCTATACTCTCACCCTATTCGTTTTTCGGTTGGATACGAATATAAACACAGATCATTTCCTAGATAACTACCTTTATAATAACCAACATAAAGTTATTGATATAAAGAAATGTTAATGTCCTAATGTTTGAAAGTATTACTTCCCTTTCTTAATTTTCTTGCTCCTCTTCTACTACTTGGTCTTGAATATGACACTCTGCAATTGCTGCAGCATTTCTCTTTAGTTTGAATTCACGGACATCTACATTCAGATCAATGTCCGAGATAGTTTCATGCTTCCTGGTTACGTCACAAGATAACTCCATGGGGTTCAGTATTTGGAGTGGTCGTTTGATTGTACTTTTTCCAACTCTTGGCTTTGCTCATCGTTTTCTGTTACCATCATTTCCTGTTACAAACCGCTCCACAATTCCAAATTTCCACTTGCGTCGATTCTTTTTCTCTCCCTTAATGATTGCGATGTCACCAATGCTTATGTTTGCCTTTTTCCCGTTGTCCTTCATGTTATGTCTTTTAGGCAATGCTCTTAAGTACTCTGTCTTGCAACGCCGTACTTCTCTGCGTCGAAGGTCGTCATCCTGGATTCGATGGTTTTCGTGCTCTGGAATAACGTTTGGCACTCCAAACTGCATGGCATTAAGTGTAAGCAAAGGGAGTTGATCGTCGTCTTCGATGTATTCAAGAGGACAGTTGTTCAACGTGATTTCCACATCCAAAATTACTTCTTCTAGTTCTTCCCATGTCAGATAGCCGTTGCTGATCGACTTACAAAAGATTTGTTTGATCAAACTAATCAATCTTTCGTACTGACCTCCCCACCGTGGAGCTCGGCAAAGGTTGAATTGCCACCGGATGTGTAACTTAGCTAAATAATCGTTAAAGCTCTAGTCGTGCATAATTCCTTTCAATATCCTTGTTACAGCTACAAACATCTAGTAACTGTCGGAGTAAACTTTGCTCGGTCGCCCCTTTCGCGTATTTAACCGTTTGATGGTTGTGAGAAACTCTTGAATGTCCATAGCCTTTGTTAATTCTAGATGTAATGCTCTCGTGACTGCACATGCATAAACTACAATCCAAGCTTTTGCTTCAACGTTTTTCCTTTTACGATACTTTATCGGGCCAGCGTAGTCGACACCAATTACTTGGAACGGCAAACGCCGCTCAGTGCGGTCTCTAAGTAGATTTCCTGGGACAGGGCTTGGGTAGGGAACGGCTTGAAATCTTTCACATTCGTGACAACGCTTTATGACTCGTTTCACAATTTGTATTAATCTCGGAACCTAGTAATTTTCACGTACTTTCGATATTGTTAAACTTGCTCCCCCATGAAGGGTGACATAATGGGAATGCTGAACAATCTTTTCGGTAAACATATCATTATCAGGCAGCTAAATAGGGCGATCTCCTTGAATTCGTTCATAACACTTCAAGACACCAGCTTTGTCTGGCAAAAGATGAAGCCTCTCTTGATCTTGACAAAATTTTCCATTGTCTAGGTTTTGTTTCCGCTGGACTCTCTTTCGTTGCTGTGATGTCTTCTGGCCAATATTCTCTTGTTGTCAACAACTTTGGACCCTTCCACCACAGATCATCTTCTTCTCTCACTGTACCTCCTCTGCTCGCTAGTTGTGCAAGATTATCCTGTCCAGGAATGTGTCTCCCCCGGAATGTAGTTCTTTTCCAGTATCTTCCTTACCCGATTCCCAACGAATTGCTTTAAATCCTATCTTCCACCATTCCGTATCCAATGGAGAGCTACTGTGCTGTCTAGCCCTGCAAAAACAATGCCGATTGGGAATCCATCCAGCGCTTCCTTGACGTTATGAACAAGCTTTGTTGCCATAATTGCAGATACAAGTTCTAAGCGTGGTATGGTCAGGTCCTTCTTAGCAAAACGAGATTTGGCAGCCACCAGGCCCTTGCTAGTACCACTTTGTTGATGGACAATGGCAACCAATATTGCCCCCACTCTAAAACTGCTAGCATCAACAAAGGCGTGCAGCTAGATTTCTTTGATGATTTCCTGGAAACCGATGATACTTCGTGCAATTGTGATAGATCTTTTTCTCAGGATGACCATTTATCTTTCAGTTGTTGTGGCAATTCCTCGTCCCACGAAAACTTGGCATCACAGCAGTCCCGAAAGAGAAGCTTTTCTTGGAACGTGACAAGAGACACCAAACCGAGCGGGCCATAGATCTTTGCTGTCTTGGCTAACACCTCACGCTTCATGTTGTGAGACATGTCCGTTGGTATCTGAACTTTAATGAGATCTTTCTTTTTGTCACATGATAATCCGAGAATTGTTGCTTCGGATGCAGTTGCTCCTAATTGTTGCTTGGCATATGTGGTCTCATCCGTCGAAGCTTGTTGTGCTTGTGCTGATTCTAGCTTAGGTATGTTGGAGTGCCTTTGTGCACCGCCCGTCGGCGAAGATTTCCGTAGTAGTTTCTTTTAATTTCTTCGTTTGTGCGATTGTTTCTCACACGCTGACCAAGTCGTAGACGTATAGGCTGTCTCTAACCTCTTTTACAATGTCGGGGTTTGTCTGCATATGGTTTTTTAGGTGTTTTTTGATGACTCCTCACAAAAGGAATTGGGAAGGAGATAAGCCGAACAGAGCTTTGGTAAACCGTAGGGTTATCTTCTCTTTCGTCTCGATGTTTTTGTACCAATGAAGCCGCATTAAGTCCCGATCTTCTATACGTATTCTTACCTGGAGGAATGCCTGCTTTATATCCTCTATTAACGCAACTGGGTGAAGCTTTCTCTCACCAGCACCTTCCACAAATGATTCTGAAGGGGTGGACCGGTCTGTAAACATTCATTCAAGGACGGTGCTTTATCATTATTATGTCGCAGATCCGTCATATACGATCCTTAGCTTGGTTATTTCTGAGTGATTGCTTAACCACTGGTTTATGGGGCAACTTTGCCGTGAACGTCCATTTCTGCCAGGTCCACTAACTCTTCCTCCAACTGTTTCTGAATAATCTCTTGATACTGCTCCATGAGATTCTGTTTCTCTAGTTTTTTAGTCAAACTATTTAACCTTCATATACTTCTACATTTGTTCTTGGGTAATAGTGGGTGATTTCCCTTCCAGGGTAATCCTGTCTCATACCAACCTTCTTCACTTCTTTGCAGCTGCTCTTTAAACTCGCTGTAAACATTCTGCTGATCATCGGATCGAGAGATTTCGAGTCCAAGAACATCTAACTTATACAGTTGCTCATACTCTTCGCGATATGCTTGGGTAAAAAGCATTTTATTAAGGTTAACCACCTCCCTCGGTGACATGATTGTCCATCCTAGTTTGCTTACGGGGGAATCCAACTCTTGGCTTAGACGCGATTTTAATTTTGGAGTAATCCCACGCCCAAATATTAAATGTACGGGAAGTTTATCTTTGTCGTCATCATCATTCATGCTTATGCCGCTTAGATGATTGTTCGTTAATTATGCATATTTTGGATTATCAAGCATTAAAAGTTCCTTTTTTGCTACTCCTC